AAAAGATGGTGCCATTTTTTCTCAATTTACTTTGGGTGGCCACACGCTAAAAAGCTCAAACGAGCACAGAGAGCACTGGTATTCTCTTGCAGATTTGTACAGAAAGTAATCTGAAACTCATCTATAATTTATAGGGAAATCAAAACTGGGCAATTCAAAGGAAGAAAAGGAAACACAGTAAGTTTCCACCTATGCTATGAACTTGTTCATATTTCTTGGGTTCCGAATTAGCTCTCAATTTTGGTTTCTTGGTTGGCTCTCACTATGTGCTCTTCACTTTCATGACAATAAATAAACACGATAACTTCAAAAGGTATTTCAAATCAGGAGGACCAATTACTTGCCATTCATTGCTTTTGAATTCTGTATTTAATCACTCTTTAATTGCACTCCAGATTTTGATTTTTCTGGTTTTCCTAGTTTTCAACCTGCTCTGTATTGGTTACCATATATTTCAGAACGAGACAGAAGAAGATATTATTTCCATACTTTATCATAAAAGGCATATGATATGATCATAAAACAAAATGAGATTGTCAAAAAGGAACAAGGTATATTATATCACCAATATAAAGAGTTAGACATGCAAATATTAAATTTATGTTTTAAAAGATAGTCATGCAACTACAAATGAAATGTTCTTCTTATTCTTTGATTATATTTTCCAGAAACATTTGTTAAAATCATAGTGATATACATATATGTATAATATTTTTATATTGGCAGGCAACACTTTTTTGGTTTGATATAATGTGCCAAACATGAATAGGTGCAAGTGTTACAATATGGTGTGTGTGATGAATGACTTATACAGCTGAAAACAGCTGAAATCATATTAAATAGATTATATTTTCTAGTTCTGGAGGGGGAGACAAATTTGGTAAGGGAAAACGGAGAAAGGCATTAAAGTTCCTAGGGTCATTCAGATGCATTTTGACAGGATAAGTTTTATGCACGGTCTATGACTCATCGCATAATTACAAGAACCCAAACGACCAAAATAAGCTTTAGTTATGTATATCCTTGGTTTATTTTTTGAAAACAGCTCATAAATTTTATTATTACCAAAAGATTTATATGCAATTACAATTCATATTTCCATTTCCTGTGATGGACTGATTTCTGTAATTCCACTAACTAAGCATCCTAATGAGAATAACTGGATTTCACATAAACCACTGCAATACTAGCAAAAACCAATAAACTTGGTGCAGGTACAAGATTAGGGATGTATTTTAAGTTTCTAAGCTACTCACTAGGAGAAACATTCTCCTTATGTCAATTTTTTGCCATTCCTCCATATTTGGATTGTCTTATTTCAGGGCTTGTCTAGATAGACTTCACTTTTTGCTTTTTGCTTAATCTAAACTTTGCAACAAACACACTTTGACCTGAAACGCCCTAAACTTTTACAACATTTGAATGTTGACACGTATATTCACATACAAGTTCTTCGTAATATATTTTTAGCAAAAAAAAAAGTTCTTCGTAATTTATTAATATTCTAATATTGTCTTAAATTTTGGCGGGAAAACAAAAATGTACTTTTTGCTTTTACTTAATCCTTTACAAACAAGCCTTTACTTGGTTTTGTACATCATGGACTTCAACAAATATTAAGGTTTTGTTTGAAGCCAAATAGAGCGTATTAACCCGCCCTATCATATAGTTGACTTATATATGCTTCAAAAATTGTGAATAGCTCTTAGGCCAGTCTTGAACTCAGCAAAATATTGATTGCAAAGTCCTAAAAAACATGACTCTAAACAATTAAAGTAACCAGATAGCACTACATTTATGTTGTTTTAAAGCTCATCTCTAAAGTTCATCTAACTTTGATCATTTGTACAACAGTGCCAGTAAGAGTACGAATTTGTCCCGAGGCAATTGCCATCATAGTTGATTGCTATTTCGGTATGCCCTTTTAACTGATTCTTCAGATATTTGTCACATTTTGAGCTAGGTAAGTATATGACCATGTGAGAAGAAAATTGACAGCCTAAATAAGCCTCAATAAATTTGTCACATAGTGAGCTAGGAGATATGTATCTTGTCTTATACCAAAGACATTCACCTTCAAAGTTTTCTCTGACCAGTTAGCCACAAACTCTTTCTTGCTTGCTTTTAGAAGATAAACTGTAGCACTCCTCCTATATCTCCAGGATTTTTTTATCAACGGAGTCCTTCAGCAGAATTATACAATTCAAACAAAACGAATACAAAACCTAGGATGAAGAATTAAAGCTAGATCAGCCTAGTAGATAATCGCAGGTGCTATGTGTGAGTTGATAGAGAGAGGATATATGAATATTTATAGGGGATGACCATAGTGCGCCATCACCTCCATGAGAAGCTATTATATTAACAACTATACAAAGCGACACTAGGCCACATTAGCTATACCGTTTTTTGGGTAAAGAATATGTATAACAAAATTTATATCAGTTACATCAAGAGAAAAAGGAACAGCGGGAATGACGATGGGTTTTGAAAGTTAAGGAGAAAGCGCAGCATGGGGGGTAATGGGAGAAAGTCTGAAAATCATAATCCAAGATGATTGTGAATTACAAAACTAGCCAGTTGTTAAAACAAGACTTCCTGCTTTTAGTGGATTTCATTGGCAAATTCTGGTAACAAGACTAGTCTTTCTATTCCTTGATGATACCAAAACGTTGATGATGATTTTATTCGATGTTATGTAGTTTTAGCACCTTCATTGGTTGGGTCAAAAAGTTTTTATAAATGCTTGTCCAAACAGTTTAAGCCTTATAGTACATGTTGATTTTCAGTGGAATCTGGATACCTCGCCTTATTATGCATGCTGTAAATTTTTCGACTTCCCTCACAGCCTGAACTTGTTGAAGGGGATTTTCTTCTTTATTATTAATGTTGTACGAACATTTTCATAATAAATTTTCCTCCAGCTTTTTGTTTAATTTATGAAGGATGTCAGCAAGTATTGAAAGGTGACAAAGTCTCACAAGGGTGCAAGATTTTGGCAATACGGCCTTTTGTTGGCAAGAAGGGTATTGGGAGGGGGAAAAAAAACAAATGTTGATAGTCTGCAATGGACGAAGCTTACATTGACGAGTTATGCAGACGCGAAAACAAAAAGGAGGAGATCAGAAAATTTTGCAGCTGGGCTTTGTCAATAACGAGTAGCAAAAACCTGAATTTATCTGCAAATAGCAAAAATCAGCAAACTTGAAAGCAGAACAGAGGTATCTTTTCGCTTTGAACCATGAAAAGATGAATGTTTTTTTTTTTTTTTTTTTTTTATGACCCAGGGAACCCCCGCACGGCCGACAGCCGGGAGGTAAACCCTGGGGGCGACACGTGCTAGCCACCACACACGTGCACCGGTTAAGTCACCCTGCGGCACCCGGGATTCGAACACTCAACCTTTTGCGAGAGGAAGAGTGCGCGCTCCAGCAGCGCCACCCAGGCGGGTGGTTGAAAAGATGAATGTTTTGCTCTTTTTTCTTGAAAAAAAAGGAGGAGCTAAGAAAACACCAAAGTACCCGACACCGATGAAACTAAGCAGCAATGCCGATCGACAAACCGAGAAATATGAACAAGGATTCGCAACCATCATAGATGAATACGAACCTGCGAACAGAGAGAGAGGAACAAAGCAGTCGACTGAGACCATCTTCATCTGTTCTTTCAATTTGTTCTTGTTTTGGCCATCGTCTTCCTCTTTTCTGAGACTCAACTAGTTCATGCAAGAGCAGGGGACTGTGGAGTGGAGAGAGACTCTCTTGAATATTTCAGTATGTTTGGTAGAAGATGGGCCAATTTGGATCGTAACACAACCATCCATAGGAAATCGTGCACGACAAAAATGGAGTTTTTGTCTTGGTGCCCGAAAAAGAAACCCAATTATCAGAGAATTACCCCCATATTATTATATAATACAGAAGCGAATGTCAGACATAACATATGATCTATTTGTTAAACGAGGTAGACCGTTTTCATATATTTATGTTGCCTAGAAGTCAAAGCACAAGGCTAAAATAAGAGGAGTGGCTTTCTTCCGTGTTGGCCTTCACCAAGTTCGGCTTTTTGGTTTGGGTTGGGCTTTGCAAACCTACAATTCATGAGAACTAGCAGGTGATGCAACGAGGCACTTGGAGAGAAGAGAATGTTGTTGGAGACCAAGCACATAATCTTTTTCTCACAATAGCTACATGATATTCAAATTGGCAAGTGAATACTCAAGATATGAGAATAAACAAAAAGGAATGGGAACGGAATTGAATAATATATAACGGTACAAAGTGCACAATAATATTTCTGCACTAGCCTCACCCCTTACTCAAATAGTAAGTCAACTACATAAACCTAATCACCTTTCAAAACCATTTGACACTACGACAAAATGATCAAAGCAATACCAGGATCTAACTTTAAAGATAACTGAGTCGGGTGACAATTCTTAATTTTCGCTCACTCTCTGCGTCTCCCATGATCGAAGAGTGCTATCAGTAAAATTCAGGAAAAGAAAACAATAGACATCCATCCTCGACCAATGACCGTCTTCCTCGTTGTTCTGTTTGTCTTTTTGGCCATCATATTCCTCTTTCCGGTTACTCCACAAGCTCACGTGAGAGCCGGGGAGAGAGAGAAAGAGGGAGCTGAATTTTTCATTTTGGGGTATGAATAAGCTTGCCTACTTATACTGATGTGGTCGAACTATTTTTTTTATATGAAAAGTAACTATCATTTTTCTGACCTTAACTATTATTGATTACACATAATTTCATTAGAAAAATTTCCTAATTCAAAATTACTGATCATATATAAAAATTTACAGGATTATTAACAAAAAAATTATCATAAAAATGTTAATCAATAATCACCATGAAAAACTTAACTTACCGGCATTCTTGCATATCTTTCGTTCTCATATCTTGTCATGTGGAGAAATTACTAACTACAGGAGCTACAAATTTCCAATGTTCGAAGGTTTCTTTTTAATAAAACATAACATATTAGAGGACGTGGAAAGCTGAATTTACATTATCAATGCAGACATAGGTTAGATAGTATTTTTCGTGGAATATAGATTCCATTTTGGACAAAATGAATTATGAGCCATAACTCATTACAAGCTTGCTTTGTCTATTTTGTTGCTAAGAATTATAATCGACTCAAATTTACAAAAGCAAGAAAAGAATCTATGCCTATACAAGGGCTGATAACTAAAAAGCTCCTGGACATCAGGAACTTCTTCAACCTCTGTATCTTTGTACAGCGGCCTAGCTCTTGCATATTGATGCCTTCTTAAGATTTATTACTTCTACAACTTTACCAAAACTGTAGCTGTTTCTGTACCCTTGACTTTTGAATTAGTGACGCCGACTCCGCCACAATCCCCAAGGTCTAGGTGGGCTGCCTTCCGGAGTTGAATCATCGGATGTGCTGTGTAGTCGGACATCCTTTGATTTCGCCCTGATATATCTAGGCAGGGTGGCTTCCGGAGTTGAATCATTGGATGTGCTTTGTAGCCGAACATCCTTTGGTTTTGCCCTGATGGATCTAAGCGGGCTGGCTTCCGGAGTCGAATCATTGGATGTGCTTCTACCATTTTCGAGCTGCAAATCCTTTGATCCAACCTTGATTGCTCTTGGCGGGCTAGCTTCTGGAGTTGAATCATCAGATGTGCTCACACTAGGATTTTCGAGTTGGACATCTTTTGATCGTGCCCTGAACTCGAAGACATTATCCTCAGTGCTTTCATCGTCACTAGACTCATCTCCACCTATATTTTGGTGGCCCAAATTTGGCGCTTCTTCAACTAGCAATCTGGTGACTGCTCCGGCCCTGGAAAGAAACACGAGAAATAAGCTTGCAGCCAAGCGAACGATAAAGATTGTAAAATCACACATATTGAAATCTAACCTCGTAACATATTTTTTGTAGTTCAATATCATCGTGGACTGAAAACTTTCATCATGCCCATTCTGCTTTCTTAGTCTGATATGACAATCAGGACCATATAAGACAGTAGTTTCATTAGGAGAAAAAAGAAACATGCTGGCACAAATATCAAAGAAAGGCAAAACTTACATGATGGGTAAAGTGATGCGTTTGGGATTATCAGCCACCTGTCGATGCTACAAGATATCCAAGAAGCACATAAGCAGGGAGTCATGTCTAACTTAATGATACGAGACACGGAAAGATAACAAATTAAAGTGAACACTTACTTCATCTGGCAAATCATCCTCAATGAACTCCCACCATTCCTTCTCAAGGTTTAAAGTTTCTCTGTCCCCGTCGTCGTACAAGACCTATAGTCCCAATCAGGCCATATATATTTAACACAATATCAAAGAACATGCAGTTGCAAGATCTCAGAGTTAAAGATAAAAGGTAGCAGCACATAGAGCAAGAGACGGCGAGACAAACAATTACAAAATTCTGAAAAGTTAGCCATCAGACGGGACTTGAGGACAAAAAAGGACTGATCTGCATATGCAGATACATCCAAGAAGCTAACTGAGATGATCAAAACAAATGGTAGGTCAAAGTTACAGAAGCTTCTTAAGTGACAGTCATCTCACCTTATGCTTTTTTGTTATAGGGTCGTAGGATTGAATTCGGCCATCACAGAACCTGTATAACAAACAATTAGGAATAGGAAGAAAATGACATAAACAACCCTTAGTAGCAAGTGCAAGAAGGAGATGAGGATTGAAAAAATAACATGCTCAACCGAGACAGAAACAAAGTATTCAAAGTGAGGATCCTAGAGTGCTCACATCTCATCCAATGGCCACCAGACCTTTATTCTACGACCAACTAATCCATCAGCAAGCACCCCAGACTCCTGAAAATTGTCAAGAAAAGTACATGACTTTATGAAAAAAAAAAAAAAAAGGTGCAAAGACTATGCCACGTAGCAATTAGGAAAAAGTAAGAAAAAAACTGAGCAACAACCCTCTTTAATAACCGTAACCACAAAATTCAGCACAGCTTTAGAAGAAACTTCAGTTTTATAATAATGATAATGATAATAATAAAAATCGAAGATGGCATTCTCAATAATATAACGATAAATAATGTAATAGATCTATAATGTCAGATCTAATCAGTGTATGAAAAGTATACTGCAACAGTTGCAATCATACCCTTGAGGTGCCTTTACTGGTGTTGTTTCCTCCTTTGGTTGGCAGCTTCATTTTTTTCTCTCTAAGATCAATCGGGAGCAGAGCTGCCTCACCTCGCACAGTCTCCACATTTGACTTCAATTCAATTCTGCTTACGGAGATCCTTCTTTTATGTGGCTGTTCAGTAGTTTGACCCTCTCTGTACAGCCAAGAAACATCATAATCTTCCTCGGGTCTCATAGATGAATTGGGTTTCAGTTCCCTTTTCCCATGAAGCATTGCACCCTTGGAGTCTAGATAATCAGCACTGCCTTGCTTAGGAGAACCACTAGTATCATTATGCTCTGTAGTAGATTCATTTTGGTATAATAAAGCCACTACAGGAGAATAATCATCCAAAGTGGTGCCTTTTGATTGAAGTACTCCCCTAAGAATAGGTCTCAACTTTTCTGCATAATCGGAGATCAGTTTCTCTCCCAATTTCCAACAGAAAGGTGCCACTCTCTGCAAGATGGTATATTCCCTATTAGAGAATGAACAAATCAAACCAAGCTAAAACAGCAGAAATGTCAAAAATGAAAGTAACCTCATTCTCCTTAAGCACACTAGCCAGGAGAGGGATCAGAAGATCTGGGCTGATATCTTCACTTTCAGCGAGGATGTCGGCCATTATTTGTTCCACGGCCCAATATTCATCAGCAGATGGATTTGACCTTAATAAAAAAGAACCCATCAAAAATAAGAGAGTATCGAAAGGTAAACGCTAAAATGTCAATAATAAAAAGATGTTGAGAACTACATTTAATAAAGTCATAAGAGTGTTGTTGCAGTCTGTCATAACACAACTGTTAAGCTAAGTTATAATCCAACTACCACAAAGCCATTTAGGTGCCATTATTTTTCACTACCCTAGAATTAAGGTCAAGAGCTTGCACAGATATCGCTAAATCTCAATCTCTCTTGTAAAGATAGCAGTGTAACATCTTAAATAAAAAATCCTTGCTACACCAAGCAGAACATTGAGTTTAGCAGGAGATCCTTCAACAAAATTGAAAGGTTTAAAGTACCAAAACAAAACCACATGATATAGTCGAAAGATTCATCTAATTATGAAAGGCAAATTAACTTGTAAATGAACACTGATGTACATGGAAACTCATCTGCAATTAACTAACTACAAATATCATCCTTTTGAGTCATAAGAAAGATTACTAGACAGCAAGACAAGCCAAATTGTGATATTCCAGAAAACTAAAATGGAACTCAAAAGAGCAATTTCCATTAATTAGTGTTATTGGTCAAAGGTTAAGAAAGCTACCTTTTCTTATGATATCTGGTAAACTATTTAGCGAAAAGAAGAAAAAGAGTCCGTAAAATGTTACTGATGATAATATTACCTAGTAAATACCCATAAATGTTGGCACATATGAAGAACTAGCGCCTCACATTCAAGGTCAAGCATTAGCAGACATGCCTTGACCCTTGCAACGGTTTCAAGTATAGAGAGGGCCTTTTCATAACACTGTGTCAACGGTCGAGATAGCTTCGAAATAGCCTCCACGATCAGTTGAAAAATTGCCTGCCCATGAATGTATAGTTAAGAAACTGTGAAAGAACAAAACTTTATCTAGAGAGGAGTGAGTTCATTGTCTAAGAAAATCTCCAGAGTTTTGTTTTATACACCTTCATTTGATCGTCATTAAATGGTTGTTCTGGCGACGTTATCCTCAGAATCTCACTGAGGCAAGATGCCAGTGTAACTCTAACATCCTCATTACAATGTTTGAACAGAGCTTCAGCTATGAGACCTTTCATGACGGGAAGAAGGGCATCTAGGAGGAAGTCCGATGGCTCTTGCTCCATATTCACCAAGAGATCTTCAGCATTCTATGTAGAGGGGACATGTAGATGAAAGCAAAAGTCAGTTCCTCTATCTAAATAAACAACATTAAAGAGTACAGAAATCTTTCTGGAAACGTAGAACGAGAACACCCTTTCAGATGCTCCAATGATTGGTGATGTATGTCCTTTAAGAGGTCAAAAAGAGGGGAAGGGAAAAGATAAAACTAGAGATTTGACTTTGAAGCTCATGGTAGCACAAGAATATCATCCAGCTGATGGAGAAGTGGACAGCAAAGAACACCAAGTACAAGGAGCAATGTAAATGATATTTATTTAACTCGCTTAACGTAATATGCTGAAACCAAAGTTGTATCATTCAGAAAGGAGTTTGAAAGCCATTATATGAACTCACTTCCTGTTCCATATGAACTAGATGCCTTTGCGTACAAGCATAACCACCAAATGGATTAGCATATATTGACCCGCTAAAAGAACAAATATGCCTGATGAGAAACTCAAAGACAGGAGATCAATCATCCCCCAAACAACCATCAACCACCCTCAAGCATTCAAATTTATCCCAATGAAACACAAATAAGAAATCCCAATGCAAGTAAAGCTTTATGGCTCAGTAAATCATTATATGCATGAATTGGTAAATTGGGGCAGCATACATCAAGAAGAGTGAGGAGTTCATCAACAGAAGAAGGGGCATTGAGGAGGCCATTGCCAACCGATCTAAGCTGCACTGCCAAAGTCCTCTCGAATGAAGAAGAAGATGATGCCATTTTTTCTCTTTCTACTTTGGGTGGCCACACACGCTATAAAGCTCAAACAAACACAGAGAGTACTAGTATTCTCTTGCAAATTTTCACAGAGAGTAATCAGAAACTCGTCTACAATTTATAGGGAAATCAAAACTGTGCAACTCAGGGGAAGAAACGGAAACACAGTAAGTTTCCACATATGCTATGAACTTGGTCTTATTTCTTGGGTTCTGATTTAGCTGTCAATTTTGGTTTCTTGGTTGGGTAGCTTCAAATGGCATTTCAAATCTTGGGGACTTAGGACGACCAATTACTTGCCATTCCATTGGCTTTTGCACTGGATTCTGTACCTAATCACTCTCAAATTGCACTCCGGATTTTGATTTTTCTGGTTTTCCTAATTATTAATCTGCTCAATATTGGATTCTATTTATTAATGACCGAGACAGAAGCAGACATTATTTCCATTTTTTATCATAAAATCCATATGATATGATGATAAAACAATACAAACTTATCAAATAGATTATGTTTTCTTCTTTTGGAGGGGGAGACAAATTTGGTAAGTGTAAGGAGGAAAGGCATTAAAGTCCCTAGGATTTGATTCAAATGCATTTTGACAGGATAATTTTTATGTATATTACAAGAACCAAATAAGCTTAAGATATGTATAGTCTTGATCCAATATTTTAAAACAGCTTCGATTTTTTTTTTATTACCAAAAGATGTATATGCAATTACAATTCGTATTTCCATTTTCTGTAAGGGACTGATTTGTGTAATTCCACTAACTGAGCATCATAATCAGAATAACTGGATTTTTTACTTGAAAGTAGAGTACCTTCTTCTATAACCTGAAAAGAAAACCTTACACAGAAACCACTGTAGTACTAGCAAAAACCAATAAACTTGGTGGAGGTACACGATTAGGGATGTCTTTAAAGTTTCTAAGCCACTCACTAGGAGAAACATTCTCTTTATATCAATTTTTGCCATTCCTCCATATTTGGATTGTCTTATTTTAGAGCATGTCTAGATAGACTTTTGCTTTTTGCTTAATCTAAATTTTGCAACAAATACACTTCGAATTTTTTTTAACCTGAAACACTGAAACTTTACACCATTTGAATGTTGACACATAAATTCACATGTCAGTTCTTCGTAATATTTTAAAATTTCAGATAATGTCTCAAATTTTGGCCGGAAAACAAAAAAATACTTTTGCTTTTGCTTAGTTCTATACAAACAAGTCCTTACTTGGTTTTGTACATCATGGACGTCAACAAATATTAAGGTTTTGTTTGAAGCCAAATAGAGTGTATCCACCTGCCCTATCATGTAGTTGACTTATATATGCTTTAAAAACTGTGAATACCTCTTAGGCCAGTTTTGAACTTCGCATAATATTGATTGCATAGTCCTAAGAACCATGACTCTAAAAACTCAAAGTACCTATATTTATGTTTTGAAGCTCAGCTGTAAAGATGAGCTATTGTACAACAGTGCAAGTCTGAGTACGAATTTGTCCTAAGGCTATTTCAATATGCCCTTTAACTGATTCTTAAGAAATTTGTCACATATTGAGCTAGGTAAGTATTATATTATTACCATGTCAGTAGAAAATTGACAGCCTAAATAAGCTTCAATGAAGTTCTATTCAACAACTCTTAACTGATCCCAATACCTGCAGCATTGCGTCATACATTTTTCTCCACCCTAATACAGGTCATCATTCATCCCTTTTTATCAGGTATGTCCACATAGATTGCAGATAAACAATAAAGAGAAAGTGTATGGGGTTTCAGTCACAAAAAACTTACGTCAGCTGCATTTTCAGATGACAAGCAAATCAAGGTAATAGCTGACTTATTTGATCTAACAACAAATGCAATATATTTATATAACACTAAAAGAGAAAATTTCAGGAAACTCACACAAGCTGCTTCTCCAATTAATTTGGCAATCCCATGAGGTCTCTGCCATCAAGTACTTTCTGCCCAAATTAGTTGCTCCACGTGTTACACTGACTTTTGCCAATCCTGAGGGGTGCAAAAAAATCGAGCTGCTCATTACTAGAACTCACTGGATAGATAATTGACTTTGATATTTGGTTCAATGTGCATTTTTCATGCATACTAATGCATTAGATTTTAATTTATGTGAATATACATGTCTTAATAGGTAAGATGCAACGAACATAAAAGGATTTATATAACCAACTCCACTTAGCATGAAAAGTCTTTCCATTCAACATGTTTATAATGGATATTTTTAACAGAATATGGGTATCAAGCTGATAGTTCTGTACATACAATGGTACAACCAAATTGGAGATAAGTACAGCAATGACTACAAACACAAATACAATAACATGACACGAGCACAATGACTCGTGATTGAAATGATTCGATTGGATTTTGACTTTCTTCTTTAAAAAAAATCATTATCACCGTGTGCAATATTTGTGCTCTAAATAAAGCCAAAGGATATGACATAAATTGCTAATAAACATGACAAAGCAACCAGATTTCAATTCAGATCACATCGATCTCAAACTTGGCTCAAACTTCATCAAAATTAAAGATAGGTTGGATAGCCGAGTCCATCTCAACTCAACTTAAATTGTCAAATAGAGCACATAAATGAAAAATCGCACATTATTTGTCCAGGTTTTTAAGTTCAAGCAGCGCATTGCATCGATTCCACTTGGTTACACTCCTAAGAAGCATAGTTTAACTTATTATTGTCTTCCTACAACAAAACAAAAATAAACTAACCCATGCCTTAATGAGTCACATATCAGAAAACCAATGAACTATTAATTGTATCATTTTCGGACTGTACTTTCAATTAGAAAAATCTTTAGATTCTAAGCTGTTGTGAAGATTCCAAGGTGCATATTATATGTCACCTCAATTTCCTCAGTTACTGAATTATGGACAGTAAGAGTCTCAATCAATCGGATTCCTTCTTGCTTAGAGATGCACATGACCTCCAGTTCCCAGCTTCCATTCGTACTTAGAACATGTCAAAATGATATACAAATCCTGAAAAATCATAACTCCGGTGTCAGTTGTGATATTTGGTTCTTACATCATGTTAAGTTTCTGAGATCAATTAGATCTGAAAGTGATCTCGTTAACATTGGAACCAATAGCAATTTATATGCATGGCGCATTGTTAATAAACAAAAGTTCTCTAGGCTATTTCCTTTACCAAATTGAAAAAGCGAAAAAACAGTAGGTACCTGCTCATAGAGAGTTTCTTCTTATCTTTGTAACACAAGGAGAATTGCTGCAAGGGCATTTAAAACAGACAGAAATAAAAGATAAAAAAATAGCATGATCAGCGCAGTAACATTTTAACGAGCAAGAATGAAAGTAGATATGTATCTTGTCTAATAACAACGACAGTCACCTTCAAGTTTCCGACCAAATATCTGCAAACTCTTTCTTGCTTGCTTTTGGACAATAAACTGTAGTATTCCTCCTATATCTTAAGGATTTTCAATCAACGGAGCCCTTCAGCAAAATTATTCAATTCAAACAAAATGAATACAAAACCTAGGATGAAGAATAAAAGCTAGATCAGTGTAGTAGATTATCGAAGGTGCTATGTGTGAGGTGATACAGTGAGGACATACGGGTATTTATAGGGGATGATATGTCATGTTGCGCCGCCACCTCCAATGAGATTTCTCGAGATAAATCTAGGTTAAAATTGTTTGCTGGTTAACTCCGCACGTGACATGCTCATGTCAACAAGTACTGCTGCAAATGTGGCATGTCGTGTGACTCGTTTATAAATCATATTTTATTTAGCTTCTTTGAAGGTCAATTAGCAAAATGATGAAAAGCTATTATTTTAATAATCAATACAAAATGACGCTAGCCCACATTAGCTTTTTTTTTCGACAACAAGTATGTATAACAAAATTTATATCAATTGCATCAAGACAAAAAAAGAACACCAGGAATGAGGATAGGTTTAGAAAGTTGAGGAGAAAGCATAGCATAACCCAGGATGATTGTGAATTACAAAAGTAGCCCGCTGTTAAAACAAGACTTCCTCCTGTTAGTGGATTTCATCAGCAAATTTTGGTAACAAGACTAGTCTTTCTTTTCCTAGATGATACCAAACATTGATGATGATTTTATTCAATACTATGAAAGATTAGTTTTAGCACCTTTATTGGTTGGGTCAAAAAGTTTTTCAACTTGCCTCACAACCTAAAATGATTTTTAATGAAATTTAGATAACGATGCTTGTCCAAACTTTTTAAGCCTTATAATACATGTTGATTTTCAGTGAAATTAAGATGACTCGCCTTATTATACATGCTGAGAGATTTTCGATTTCCCTCACAGCCTGAACTTGTTGAAGGGGATAAACTTCTTTATTTTACATGTTGTATAAACGTTTGCATGATAAAATTTCCTCCAGTTTTTTGTAGAATATGCCAGAAAGTATTGAAAGGTGACAAAGTCTCACACGGGTACAAGATTTTGGCAATTCAACCTTTTTCGGCAAGAAGGGTATTAGGAGGAAATGATTATGGATATACTATCAATTAAGAATAAAATCTCATTGTTTATGATAAATTGGAAAGCTGCATCAAAGAAAAAATATCCACCATCTGCTCTTGGAAGATTCATCAATGGTTGATTTCTAACTTACCCTATCTGGTAGGTGTGAAAGGAAAAATACCTTCTCATTTAGTTATCAAATCTGAACGTTTTTTCCTTCTCGTGATATGGTGATTAAATATGAAGAAGCCAGTTTGGATGTACAACTCATTTCAAAATGAAACCTCATTATTATCAAAACAAAATTGACAAAACCACGTAAGCATATCAAGAAGGTATTTAATAATATCTACAACTGGAAAAAGTTTGAATTAGTACTTATCCATGTCACATTGGCCTGGAAAATGAAGTAACTCATTTCACAGTCAGATAAAATTCTCTATATTTCCGTGTGATAATATATATATATATCTAATATGACCTCCTCGTGCAAACCCAACACAAAAACTGTGACCTTTCATGTGGTCCTTATTCAATTATAATTCTACATCTTCTAATTTGAAATTCCATACTCTAAATACAACATGCAAAAATAAATATGTATAGTTGGAACTGCGAGTATTGAAAAATGAAACACACATTATCTTGTGAGCAAATTAATAATAAGAATAGTTGTTCCAAAACCATGTGCTAGGCAGTTGGCCAAATTTTGCAGGGATGTTGCTATGGCCACACAAGGTCACAGGTTCAAATTCCATGGCCTCAAAACTAAATATAAAGGGATGTATCAAGTCAAAACCATTATTTTGGAGAATATCAGTGCAGAGGAGTGGTGATGCAGTGGTACAGAGTGAAAGCCACGAAATGGAGGACTTGGCAATTCTAGTGGACGCATCTTGGTGCAATGCTAGCACGGACCAGTGGTGGCAGTGGCAGGAAGGAAGAATTACAGTTAGCCAGGCAGTAGTATACGTACTGTCTTTTTTCTTTTTTTTCATTCACCACTTTTCTCTTATTCCGTATATTCATACCTATCCTCCTTTGTACTCTGTATCTTTTATGACGTGGGACAATATTGCTCCTCTTATCCCCATATGACATCATAACCCAAATATATAAGAGATCTATTTAGACACCAGATGTTCTAACTCCCAAACCGTTTTCTGTATGAATCTTTCCTCAAATAATGTAGAACTACAGATCATACATAAAGTTTGTGATAATCTAATGTTCTACAAAGGTTGACCATTTAAAGAAATTTGTGCTATGTAGACGCCAAAGCATGAGGCGCAAATAAGAATAGCAGATTTCTTCCTATTTATCTGGTCTTGGCTCTTTAAAGAGTTTGTCTTTTGGGTTTGGATTGGCTTGCAAACTCCAAAGTTCAGAAGAAGTTAAAGGGATATATGGACACAACAATATATCCAAACCGTCATTTTACACAAGCCTCAAACTCCAAAGTTCAGAAGAAGTTAAAGGGATATATGGACACAACAATATATCCAAACCATCGTTTTACACAAGCCTCAAGCCTCACCATTAATTAGTAAACTCAAAAAGATATGACTACCTACATAAAGGTGATAGAGGTAGCTGATGTAGCAAACAACTTGCAAATACTGTGTATGGACGACTAAACCCTATTAAAGTTCACTAGAATTCCAATTTTTATGGCTTCTGCTAAATTGTGACCAAAAAAAGAGATCTTAAGACAGTTAAATAGATGAACACCATTTCTAAAAAAATGCCATGCTTGTAGGAGGGAAAAAGCAAGTGCAGCTGGAACTATAAGTAGAGGTATCTTAGACGCAAAAGTTTCAAGCTAAAGGTGCGTGCATAACTGTTGCTCTTCGGGTTAAGTCCCACAGCATTGATTACTACTAACTCGTTATATCATTGATTTACATGTTAATATCAACAAACACCTGAATTTTTCAGGATTTTTGTTGAAATTCACATCTGAAAATGAAATAGATTTCAGTTCACTAGAAAGTTTGGATAGACCTTTTCTGGTCTCCACTTCAACCGCAAAGTTTATCTGTTATAGGTCGGTGTAAGATACCATTAAATCAGCCAAGCTCCAGAATCATATCAGCTTTTCCTAAAACCAATTGAGAAAACCCAGAATCCATACTATTGTGAGAAGGGATTTCATAATTCATAGAAAAAAAATCATATGCAATACAACCCACAGAGGAAGGACTGACTTATAACTTTGAGAAGCAAAACATCAACCCACAAACGAGACATACGCCATTATGATTACTCATATCATGATAGTTTTACGTGGGTGTAAGTTCTTTTGGTTAGAAAGAAAAAAAAAAAAACAAAAGTTGATAGTCTGCAATCGACGAAGCTTACATTGACAAGTTATGCAGACGCGAAAACAAAAAGGAAAAAAACTTCATCGAACTCAATAAGAAAACGACAAAAAATCAACTTAAGCATGCACACGTACCTGTTGAAGCACACTCCGTTAGAAAATTTTGCAGCTTGGCTTTGTCAATAATAAGTAG